GTCCTGCTTTAGAGTGTGTGTGTGTGTGTGTGTGTGTGTGTGTGTGTGTGTGTGTAAATATAAATACAACCCTATTTGCAAAAAAGTTCGGAATGCAAATAAAAACAATGCAATGATTTTCAATTTGTAAAGCCACATTTAATTGAAAATGGAACAAAGATGTATCAAATGTTGAAACAAATTTTAATGTTTTATGATAAATATTTGCGCAATTTGGATTTGATGCCAGCAACATGTTTCATAAAAGTTGGGACAGTGACAACAAAAAACTGGAAAAGTTGTAATGCTAAAATAAAGCACCTGGTTGAATATCTCACAACTAATTATGTTAATTGGCAGCAGGTCAGTAAGCTGAAGAGCCCCCCAGAGAGGCAGAGTCTCTGCAGTGAAGATGTGGAGAGGTTCACCACTCTGAAAGACTGCGTGGGCAAATAGTGCAAAAATGTAATAATAATGTTCCTCAACATAATATTGCAAAAATTCTGCAATTTCAGCATCTACGATACATAATTTAATTACAAGATTCAGAGAATCCAAAGAAATCTGTACACGTGGGACTGCCGAAAACCAATATTGGATAGTCGTGATTTTCAGGTCCTCAGGTAGCACTGCATTAAAACACTTCCAAAAACCATTGTCTGAACATATTTTGCTTCCACAAATTCAGGATGAAACTCTACCATGCTAAGAAGAAACCAAATCTAAACATGATCCAAAAATGCCGCAGACTTCTCTGGGCCTGAGCTCATGAGCTGAGGCAAAATGGAAAACTGTCCTGTGGTCTGATGAATCAAAATTTCAAATTATTTTTGGAAATCATGGACACCGCATCCTCTGGGCTAAAGAGGAGAGGGACCATCCAGCTTGTTATCAGTGGACAGTTCATAGGCCAGCATCCGTGATGGTATAGGGCTGCATTAGTGCCCATGGCTTGGGTAGCTGGCACCATTAATACTGAACGATACATACAGGTTTTGGAGGAACATGTGCTGTCATCCAGGCAATGTCTCTTACAGAAAAGGCCTTGTATATTTCGGCAAGACAATGCCAAACCACATTCTGCAAGTATTACAACTGTTGGGCAGTTGAAATCCTATATTATACATGAATGGGACAACATCCATCCATCCATCCGTTTTACAAAACCCCTCATCCTGTTCACGGTCACTGGGGGGGTCCCGAGCATATCCCAGAGCTATGGCAGTAATGCCAATTATCTTCGGCATGTTTTTGGACTGGGGGGGAGATGCTACACACATGGGCGTCGCTGCCATGTCCCCCTCACATTTTATAATTATTCGTTTGGACCCCACCCCACATTTAACATTAAATATTTTTATGCCAGTGTGTCCCCCCCCCCCTTCATTCAAAATGCTTCTGACGCCCCTGTCTACACACATGGAAGTGTGCAGAGTGTTGAGGTCCCAAAGGTGTCAGGTGAGAGTATTAAGCACTGCTCCACCACGCTGCCCCTATGGGACAACATTTCACTTTCAAAACTTCAGCAACTGTTCCCAAACATTTACAGTGTTGATAAAAGAAGAGGTGATACAACACAGTGTTAAATATGTCCGTCCCAACATTTTGGAAACGTGGTTGCATGTGTGTGTGTATGTGTGTACCAATGTATGATATTTCTAAACATTCTTTGTTTATTACTGCCAATATTTGTGTAGTACTTTTTATAGTGTAATGCCAAAAATACTAGGTGTTTCCACAATTTTGGTCACTGGTGTATACGTATGTTTTATATTATATATATGGAATCTGAAACGGGTTTGGCGGTGCTGCTGAAAGTGCCCCAGGGCAGAGCAGGAGTGAATAGATACTGCACCCTGCTCCCAGCTCAGGGCTGGCATACAAGTGCTGTAGTGCTTGCTGAGGTCTCCCTGCTACGCTGGCATGTGAGCAGCCCATGATTGATGAGGGGGTCAGGGCGGGGGGGGGGGGGTTGCGGACTCCATACCATTCCGGTTCCTGCTCTCTGTGTACACTGAGAGTCATATCTGCTCATACAGGCTTGCTCCACATTTTTGTTTCTACTTGTCTGTGGGTGGGGGGGGGAGGTTGGGGTTGGCATCTTTATGGCCACTGTGCGAGTTATAATGTGCACCCCCCTTCAGCAGTGCCCCAAGTGGTGTCACATGCCAAATGACCCTGAATGGGGTCACTTCGGCAAACAATGAGACGGGTGTTGATACTCTACACTGCCCAGCCCCCTGCCAAAGGCAGGGCGCAGCCGGGGGGGTAGCAAAAGGACAGATGTGCCGCATTTGAAAGGGCTACGAGGTCCTGTTTCTTGGACGCTTCAAATAAGGGTGGTGGGGCGGGGATTTAAAAATATTTCTGGGTAATATTTTCAGTCCTTATATCTCTGCTTAATCTGTCATAGTTACGTTGACCAATCCAAGAACTTTAGAGCTCATGTTATGTTTCTGCCTGGTCTCATGACAGTTTGTGTAACTGGTTACTAGTAACACCCATAATTAGACTGTAACGACCTACGCATGGAGGGAATTTCCTAATGCTGGCCAGTGGGATTTTCAGCTTTGTCTCTACTCGTCTGGGGTGCCCCAGGGTGCCATGTTTACTGGGGAATGTGCAAGGGGTCAAGGACCTTTTAAAGAACATGGGTGCCCTCGGCTTGCCTGTGCAGAATATCATAATTGTGGTTTTAATTGCATTTTGATTTGTTTTTTTTAGGTGGATGATTTGCTGAAACAGGTCACGGATACTGTTCGAAGGATATGGGAGACAGACCCTTTTGGTCGCAAGCCGTGGTCTTGCTGAACTACCTGTATTTAATGAATAATTGATTATTGTAGTTAATGATTTATTAACAAAATGAGGACTGCCTGTGATCCTCTCTGAGGGAGGTAGATAATGCTTTAAAAAGTAGTGGTTAGATCCACACCTGCCAGTGTGCCCTTCCGAATGACACTCAAGCCCAATTCACGTTTATATTTGTATACTTACAAAGTGTAAGTCTGAGCTTTTGCAGATGGATGTGTAAACCACACTTTGAATCTTAAGCCATTATTTATGTTTGTAATTCCATTCTGCAGAGCTGCCCTGCCACAAGCTACACTTAAACATTCACACATGTGATCAGATCAGATTTCTCAAATTGCCCTTGTCTGCTTTAAAAATCCACCTCAGCAAGGCATGTAAAACAAAAGGCCAAATTCTGCACTCCTGAACTTAAAGAAGAATATTTTCTCCCTCTTAGGACAGAACCTCAGGTAGAAATGTAGCATGTTGTTGGCAATTTCTCTTTTTAAATTGATTTTTTTGTTCCTGCATGGTAATCGGTCGGCCTTGACTTCCTTTTTCTGGGTCAAGGTGTATCGATGGTCTGTAATAATTTGATAATGCATTAATAATACATACTATTGACGAGCGGTAGCCAGTGAGTGAGAATCGTTTGCTGCCGATTCTTGGTCCCAATTTGACTCCAAGCCCAGCTGGAGACCACGAGCATCTCAAGGTCTAAGGTGGGAAGGAGGATACTAGTACTGAGCCCTCAGGTACCACAGTAAACGCTTCTGCATCACACACCTGTGAACATGCAACATTGAAATACCAAGTACAAGCATGTCCACATGCGGTTTGATTCTCCTGACGCGCTTCTAATAAGAGTATAACGACAGAACATTCCAGTCCTGGGCTGCCGAAGGCCTGCACTTCTACCCTCGTCATGCTGTCATTTTCAGTTGAGCTCCGAGTGTTTCATTGTCTTGATCCCAGTCTAATTCAAGTTAAAATCCATAATCATTGCTGAAGGTTAAAATATTTTTTTAGGTTGAAATTCATTTAGTGTTAATGTAACACGATTTTCCATCCCATCCAAGGTATCCTGCAACCTCGTGTCCTATGCTGTCTGACAGACGGTGGGGTCCTCGTCACCCTGAGCAGAATAAGATGGATGGATGGATGGATGGATGCTTGCTTGTACTAAAGGATGCTTTGTGCTATAAACACAGATGTATAAAGAGTGAACAAAAAGACACTTTGACGTACATTATGGAATTCTGGGTAATTTTAGAAGTGAATTAGCATTATGTTTTGTCCAAATGACAGGAAATGGGGTTAAAGATCTTCTTCCTAAAAGACACACATCTCATGCCAGTTTCACAGCCCATTGTCATCCTTGAGAAGGATTTATTTTTTTCTTTGGTTTTGTTTACCGGTTGCCTATATCCCCGGATACTTTCCATAATACCCACAACCTGTGACAAGCCTGTTGCAGCCGTGGCAAATCCTCGGCATGGAGTGAAAGAGAGGACGAGTGCAGAATGGAAGGAGAGAGAAGGTGTCAGTGGGCCGGTCCGTGGGGAGCGGACAATACGAGCCAGGTGCCCATTGTGAGCTCAGCGCCAGCTGCCCCTTTTAAAGCAGATCAATGCAGACACAGAATACCTGCCTCCTCCCCAGAAACCAATCGCTGCTTCTTTTTTTTCTTCTAGAACTTTCCTTTTTTCCTTACCTTTGACTGAATGGAGCCAACTGGCAGTTGTGTGCTGCTGACGGCGTGAGGCAGAGAAAAGCCCCCGCAGGTGGTGGGCATGGGGGGCCGCCGCTTTAGCATAGGGGCCTTTTCAGCGGGTACATCAGCACCGTGCCTGCTCTCTCTCCCAATGTCCGCACCCCTATTTACAC